TNTNTTNNNNTNNANAANANNNTTTNNNNTNNNNANNNNANNANAAAAAAAAANAAATGTATGTGTTATTAATTATAAAATCTCAAATGAGGATATTAGTGTATTTTTATCCATTAAAAAGGTTATTTTACAAAAGTTTTAAAATATGGGTTAATTTTCAAATTTTATAAAATTTCTAGAATATTAAACCAAATTACCCTATTTTTTTTTTATAATACGCAAACTTTTGCTGTTCTATTTACCTGGAAAAATCAATTATTTTCTTATAAGCATTTACATTCATCAGAAAAATTAATTATTTATTAACGAGTACCCCAATCCATGTGTTTCGTCCCTTACCCGCGTCTCGTCCTAGCTTTTACCAGTGCCGTCCCATCCCTTATCCGCATCCCGTCAAAACTCTTACCCGTCTCATCCCAGCCTTTACATACGTCCCGTCACAATCCTTACTCGTTCCGTCCAAACCCTTACACATCCCGACTCAACATCATAGCCAAAATCAACAACAAAATATACTGCACATAACCTTTTTCTTAGCGCGAGAACTATTCATTAAGATTTGTTATCATTTATTTAAAGTATTACACTATATATAAATATAACACTTGTCATTGTCCATGTGGAGATCACTTTCTTGGAGCTCTTTCGGTTTCCTAATGTTTACGTGCTCATGGAATGCAGCCTCCTCTATTTTGACAGTTATGCAATCGAGAAGACAAGTCTACATCTCATGTGTTTATTCAGATGTATAACAGCCAAATCATCAAGCGGCTGCAACTAGAGGTGTCAAACGGGCCAACTCGCTTCGAAAAATATGAATAAGCACCGAAGTAGACAAGGACTAATAAAACTCATAATGCATTCTAATAGTAATAGTTTCTTAACGATATAACAAAGTAGCCCATTTGCTGATACAACACAAGTCACTAACCCTTCATTTACACAAACTTTTCAACCGATTGAACTGATCGGTAGTCTAGAATACTAGAAAAGAACCTAATTTAGTTTGAAGAAGAAGAATCTGACAGTTCTTTTGAAACTACCAACTCCACCACCGTTGAATGATTCAAAATACATGCAAATATAGTCGTTTGTTCCTTTTTCGCGCTCTTCGGTTTTACTTTAAAAAGTGAGGATTTGGCTGATTCCCTGTTTCATCATCAAAAAAGTTATAAACCTTAAGTAGAACAAAACTGGTTTCCAGAAAAATAAGTAGATCTTTTATTCAAAAACACACCTAAGACGTAGTGAATAGTTTACCTGGAACGACCAAAAAAGGTACCGAGAACGACCAAACAAAAAATTACCGGGAATATCTAATACGACGTCGTTTTGCACAATTCATAACAATATCCTTTCTTACTTTAACAGATGTATGATTAGCCACCACATGAGCATTCATAATAATCTTCTTTCCCGAGATTACAAATCTTTCAACAATTTTAGTATAAATATGTAACGATTGAACTTTCATGAGAACAAGAGGTCAAAAAACAAAGTTGTTGAACTTACTAGTTGTCCGTTCTTGTAACGGTTGGGTGTCAACTCTGCTGTCAGAAATGGCGAAGGAGTCCTCTTCTTTCCCTTTGAAACTCCATCCGACTTTCTCTTCTCATTGCTGAAGAAGAATACTTCACTGCATCTACTTCATGACACTTTTCTTCTTCTTCTTCATGGTCATTGCCAGATTCATGTGGACAAAACCAAAGCATAGGCCTTTTCCCATTTTCGATAGTTTAAAACTTACACAAGTCTCCCTGATTTAACCCATTAGCGGAGCAGAAGTTTGTCCATTACAATGAAGAAATGATTTTCTCATTACTCTCTTCATTACAATGAAGTCATTTACATGTATTATATACATCTGAACTAAACCATATTAAACCGAAAATCTATCCTAACCGATACCAAATGATTTACCTAAAAGAAACTAAACCAATGGTTCTATACATGTTAATAG